TGACGAGGTGGCATTCGCATGCAACAGCAACGTAGTGGGCCTGAGTGGGGAGCAACATGGTGTGTTGGTATTGTGAGAGGTAGTGCATCTTGACTGTGAATCTACGCCAGGTCCCTGAAGGAAAGATGTATTTTTCGGTGTATTTGTGTAGTGAAAGTCACTTGTTTATAGAGGTTTGTTTATCCGGTTCTTTGTTCCAGCAGTGCTGACTTTTCAATTTGCTCTGCCTAGAGCAAGTCCAACTACTTCGACCAGCTTACATAAATCTCGAATGTGTCTTTCTCGGCCCACAAGGCATTTCAGGCCATTCTGAGTGCACCAATTTTTCAATCCAAACTAAAGTGATCGTACTTCGAATGTTCGCCTTATCTTTTAATCACAGGAAATTACCACGTAGCAATTTCCCTCTAAAATCCATTAACCAGAAAAAGCAAGGTGAACAGGCATTTTTGTATATAAGGTTGAACCACCTTGCGAATTCCATAAATAATTCTGAAATTGTTTAGTTTCAATTAAATCTATCTTCAAGTTTGTATTCGAGATTTATATTTTGATGTATCTAGCTGTTTTTGGAATTCGCGAGGTGAACTGCCTTGCGAATTCAAAATTGATATGCCCGGATATATTCTCAAGAACTTCACACTTGGTTCATTCCATATGTAAAATCCTGAGAGAAGAAAAAGTCCTACATAAGCATAAGGTCGTACGCAGACAGCAACTCACGTTGTTCACTGATTCGTCAGCATGCTCTGTATACATGCAGAGAACCAAGTAGGGACTGGCGCAATGTGTCATCAAGGAAAATAGATTTATTTCGGTGCAACATTGAAAGCAATCATTTTTGACCAATCAAGAATTATCTCTTCAAAACTAGATAATTTAATTGTATTATTGGCCAATGCAAAATTCGTGCAGCACGCCTTGGCGATGGGGTGACTGTCACCCCATTTCGAAATCCTCCCACCACAACCAATTGCACGGCGACTACATCGCCGGTACTGTGTCCTCTAGATACGACTCTTTCTCCGCATGAACGAACGCCCTCACAGTCAAAAGTGCTACGTCTCAAAAGGTCGTCTAGCATTTCACCAGCTTGCCCTAATCATCACGATTTACTGTTAATCGCGGAGGTATCTTCGGACTGAGTGGTGGTTTTTATCACAACAAAATCGTCGTAATCACAACCATTGCGGTTTAAATCACAGCAAGTAAATCATCGAAAATTATTACTTCTTGGAGACCAGGACTGTTACTCCTATTGCAATAGGAAGGAAGGAATTCCCTGGGTGGTTGGAACTCACGTACCGCCTCTTTTTACAGCAGGTCATGCAGTGCGAAGCGCTAAGTGTCTAAGGATTTAAATTCAATGATGGTGTCGTATACTGGTACTTCCCAAGAGTTGTAGTATGGTTGGTGTGACTGATTCAATGTTTCATTCCAGTATGAGAAAGAGGAGCGCGTTGGCATGGTGGCACGATCACAGATATCACTGATACCACGAGCATTGTATTTAGTCGCGTCGAAGTGTGTTCGTAAGAGCTTTGGCGGCGACAACAAAATGGTTCCCTCCCAGATACGCACTGTTAATGTAGTTATTGTTAACAGAGAATATCTCCGTCAAAATGAAATTTGATTCACACACAACAGATATGGCGTTAGCACATGTAAATCATCGTTGTCATAATAGAACTGGTCGCTTTCACACAAAACCAGTGGTCTTCACAAAAAACTACTACTACGTAGGACGTAGTAGTCGTTATTACAACAATTTCGTCGTTAACACACAACATGGGGAGATGTCACAAACGCGTCACGTTTAATAGTCCTGTGAGTTGGATTTTTCCTGTCCAAAGAGAGTCTCAGACCAAGTCATGTTGGTGAGCTTGTTGACGATGGTAGTAGCTGATCTAAATATATGCTAGCGGCATAGCCTTGCCGCCATTCAACAGCATGCAGCGCATGAGTACAACGACTCAGGCGCAAGGTATTGCAATGGAAGCCTGGTGGCCACGTATTGTCGCGCACAGTGTACTTCATGACACCAACAACCCTCAGCAAACCTTGTCGGTTAGTTGCGTAGGCTGAATCCATCCTACGCCACAAGCAGCACACAGCTCGAAATCGTGATCGGTCTGGTCTTGTTGCTACTGCTACTGCACGGAACCTGGCATACCATAGCTATATCCTACGTAGTAGATAGAATGTACCATGTTTTGCAGCAGAAGCTGAAGGTTGCTTGGGCAGGAGTCCTCCCCTGCAACGTGGTGGCCGGCGCAAGACTACAAATCGAACAATGACCTCATTACAACTTGTGATTGGCTATAAATAAAAAATATAAGTAAACAATCAGAGGGCATTGGCTGAAGCACGGTGGTGGGCTCGCTGCCTCTCCATGCCTGACTGCTGTAGTTTCCTTGCATTGGGTATATCCTTGTCGAAAACAAGTTTAGCTATGATGACAGGAGTTGCTATACCAGTTAATTTGGTACAGTAGAAATTGATGCTATTGTATCGCATACTGCAGTACATGTACTGAGGGGAATGTCAGGGAAAGCTTGAGACTTGAACCGTGCATGCGCTGACTGTGAGTTATCAATGATACTGCCATGCATGATGTTCGACAGTATGTACTGTACATGTGTGGAATGTGAGTTCGAGTGAGTACATGCAGTACAGTACTACTACGTAGAAATTCTGGGGCTTAACGAAAGGTAGGTACAGGTTTGGATATTGCGCACTAGGTATGCACTTGTAGAACGGAGACGCTGACCATCAACGACGCTGCCATTCAGCTTTGATCGCTGCAACTGTAGCGATGTGCACCCCCTTGATGCCCTTCTGTAGACCCCTACACAGTTATTGACCCTCCGAGCCCGATAGACAATGCGCATTATGTATGCTACCGTTAGCGCACTCAAATATGCAATGTACATACTCAATCGCATTCGAGTACTTCTAGAGAATGTTACAATTATAGTACTTCGAAGTATGTAGCGTGGGGAGATGCTATGGAGTAGGATTTTTGTAGAGGGCACCGAAAGGCTATGCAGGGTGTAAACTATGCATGGGTTGCACATCGCTCCAAATAATAACGATCAACACTACGAGGTAGTCATAATAACGTGAGGGGATACTGTAGACTTCTACATGCTGATACCCCACTAGCTAACAGTTAAGTCCAAGAATTAGCGCTTAGTTGCATATCCTATCCTGTCATTGAGCCCATGCACATAAGGCACAGTGCCCATGGGTAAACATATAGTCAAATAATGTACGACGCATCGTTAACTCAACTTCATGCAAGGTTCAAGTCTCAATTCTCCACTACATCCGATATCCTAAGGTAGGTCATGGTCATGGCAGAGTACTGAAGTGCTGTACATGACGCTGCGAGTACAAATGAGCATGACCGGTATAGCAACTGCTGCCTAAGATTGTTTTCGACAAGGATACTGTAGATCCAATACAAGGGAACTACAGCAGTCAGTCATGGAGAGGCAGCGAGCCCACCACCGTGCTTCAGCCTTGTCGACAGTGACCAAGTACAATGCCCTCTGATATGCTGATTGGTTACTTACCCTTTTTATTTATATCCAATCACAAGTTGTAACGAGGTCATTGTTCAATTTGTAGTCTCAAGCTCACTGGCATCGGCCATCACTTTGCAGGGGAGGGCCGATGCCAGTGAGCTTGAGACTACAAATTGAACAATGACCTCGTTACGGGCTCTTGCCCAAGCAACCTTCAGCTTCTGCTGCAAAACGTGGTACGTTCTATCTACTACGTAGGATATAGCTATGCTACGCCAGGTTCCGTGTAGAAACAGCAGCAATAAGACCAGACCGATCACATTGATTTCGAGCTACGGCGGCTTGTGGAACGTAGGATGGATTTCAGCCTACGCCACAAGCCGACAAAGTTTCGCCGAGGGTGAATGGTGGCTTGAAGTAAACCGCACACGATTGCATCGTAGCCACCAGCCTTCAATTGCAACACCTTGTCGCCGAGCCGTTAAAATGAACTCATGCGCTACAGTATGTGCTGGAAGGCTATGACGCTAACGTTCGTCGTCAACAAACTCACCGACAATACTGTAACTAGTTAGTTTGATAGTTGACGCCCTCAACTTCCCAGGGCATGACTAAATTTGTGATTCACCCTGTTCTGTTAGAGAGCATCCCCACTGCCCTGTCAGTCAGGTACCGGTAGCAGCGCCTGCTGACTGTGTAGGAGGTGTTTGTGCCTTTTAGCGGCTTTTCCTCGTGTATAAGTCGGCGCAGACTTCTGGTCACTGAACATCATAGGATGTCGTAGCCAATCATAGTCTAGTTTTGATTAGCTATTTCTTTGCAGTCAGAAGTCCAGTTCTCCCTTCTACAGTCGTCCTACTTACCCTCGTCACTCAAAGTAATCGTAACTTCCAGCTGCACTACTGTACTGTTGGTCTATTAATATCAGCAAATAGTATACGAATGTAACTCCTGGGCACCTTCCCACGTCAACAATCCTGTATAACTGGATACATTTGTACAGATTGTGAGGATGACACTGTGTCTTGTGGAAAAGACCTAATTTCTGTGGAATAGCCCAAATCTACTGTGTGATACTAGTATACAATTTGGTTGTGACAAAGGCTTTCCCTCCTTCGAACTCCGGTAAGTGATTTCCCCAAAACCTGTTACAATAGTGGTACCTTCGAAGTTACTAATAATTTGGGGATGTATCCCAGTATTTTTGTAGTGCAAGACAACTATGTTTGATATTCCGTTGGTTCGGAGCAGAAGGCGACCGCGAGCGAAAAATTAACAAAACCTCTCTATTAACAACTAACTATAACTCTCTAGTTGCCACACCACAATGTTCCATGTTCAAGACTGTAGTATTCGCAGTCGTCCCTGCAGAAGTCATCCAAGCAGTAGTCGGCGCCAGGATAGTAGCAAACGCTACACGTGGCACAACCAGGCTTGGGGTAGGCAGTCGAGGGCCTCATCGTGGTCATGTTAGGCATGGTGGTAGGTTTGGTCGGGCAAGGAGCCGAGGTGGTACAAGGGGAGGCAGTTGTGGGCTTCTTCGTGGTGATGTTAGGCACGATGGTAGGTTTGGTCGGGCCAGGGGCTGCAGTGGTACCAGGGGTCGAGGTGGGGGAGTTCTTTAGGTACGGCTCAATGAAGTCGCGAGCCATGGAGATGCGGCTGTACACGCCTGGCTTGTTTTTCTCTGCACACTTAAGCCCCCAGCTGACCACCCCCACCAACTTTGCAGAACCATTGGTTTCCACCGTCAAGGGTCCGCCAGAGTCGCCTTGGCACGCATCTTCGCCCTCCTTGCCACCGGAGCACAACATACTGGCGTCGACGGAGAAGCCGTCGACGCCAGTATGACCAGACAACCACTTGGTGCACTGCTCTTGGTTGACCACATCTACCCCGACTTCCAACAAGACCTTGGACAGAGACCCTGCCGAAGACGTGGTGCCCCAACCACGCACAACCGTGGGGGTATCGGCTTCCACATTGTCGAAAGACACTTCCACGACCGGGAACTTGGAGTCGCGTTCCAAAATATATACGCCAAAGTCGTACGAGCTGGTCTTCTTGTTGTACTTTGGGTGTTTGATCTCTTGCTTGATGTTGATCTGCTCACCGTCCTTGGTGCCGCTGTTGTAGTGCGACCCAATGGCTACATATTTGAGGCCATGGCCCATGCAGTGGGCGGCGGTCAAGACGACGTTGGGGGCGATCAAACTACCTCCGCACGAGTCGATTCCAGAGGCAGAGGAACGAATTCCAGTCACGTACAAGTGCTGGCCGACGACGGCTTCCTTGCCCCCGACGATTTTGAGGTTGGCATCGACAGAGGTGAAGAGCGCAGACAATGCAAAGGCGACTTTCATGGTGAAGGAAGTTTGATGAATGACACTCGGGAGTATGGGGTTGCGTTCGATCCACGTTTCCACATGAATGCCATGGAATCAGATGACGCAGATGCGGGGATGGGTAGAGAAGTCTGTCGTGTACGTTCGTGAGTCTGGATATTTCAAGAATATAGTGAGCTGTCTTTCCGGAGGTACGTTGGACCTATGATGTTGGCAAGTTGTTTGCTTTACATTGGACTACACTGGTATGTGTCGTCCACGTCTTCACCTGTCAATACACTTTGCCCGGTCCACCTTTCTATGAACAGATAACCCAATACTAGTACAGTATGAACTGGCGCAATCGTGACACAAAGGAATATATAGAACAAACTATACTAAGTGAAACAGATGGAAAAATAAACGTAGTACTGTGTATTGTAGAAATTCATGGTCCCTCCCTCCTATCCCAACTCTAAAACTCAAAACTTCAGTTGTACCCACGGCGGGAAATCACTTTTTCCAGCTATGGTGCTCACGCAATGGGAGTTATCCTTGCTTGCCCCCTTCGTGAAAACAACGATACCGTGACATCGTTTCTTAGTGCTGTGTGCGTTAGGGCCAATTCACAGAAAATTTGTCGTCGTTGGCAGGAGTAGTCCAATATCGATGCAGAGTAGCATTTCATCGATGCCAGAAACGACACCCTCGTACTTGCCAGTTCTGGTCAAATTGCAACTGATTGGTCAATATTGAATTTTTGTACTTCAAGTAATTGTAATTGCGTCGTGTTTACACCTAGGATATCCCATTGGAGATAATTAGCAGTTGATAGAATTCAATTGGCTCCCAAGGATGAATTTGTATGATTGGCTGGAGAGTACTGAAAGGACGTCACACATTTGGCTGCCATCACGACCAAGCAGGGCTGAGTTGCAAGGCGAGAACAAGCTCCGCACTTCCCTCCAGGCAGTCTGGCTACCCCCAAAGAACCTCCGCAGCGTCCACGTCGGCCCGTTTGGATACTCATGGAGCAGCGCAGCGACTTCTACGAAGCTAGATGCATGGCAATCAACATTATATGTCGGCATAACATCGTACAGATATTCCGATAACGATGCTGGCGGGTTGTACAGCATATAGAATAGGAACAATGTTCATAATGCGGTGAATGTGGTGCGTCTAGTGCGTGCTGTGAGTTCAAAAAGTGGTGAGTGCGATGTGTGAACCGGTAGTGAATGCGGTGCTGCTGTACGTGTAGTGCGTGGGGACTGGTGCGAGCTGCGCGCTCTGTGCGGTGTAGGTGGTGTGGTTGGGAAAAGATTATTTCCGAGCAAACGATGGATTATTTCTGAGCGAGGATTTTAGAGCGTACTTAGACTGTTGCGGTCTTTTCAAGCGTATATAGTAGGGACATAAGCTGTTCTGATGGTGGATTGTTTTAGAGCATACGGATATTACCTAATGTGACATACTCCAGTTGTGATTACTACGTACTTAGGAAGTAGTACAGTACAGTACTGAATTACTACGTAGTAATTGAGTTTGGTTAATTGAGTTTGGATTATCATTTGTTTACGACATTCCCCGATACTAGAACCACATATGTTGTAGAACCGCTTCGCCAATTGACACACGCCTGCTCGACCAGGGCGGTGTGTAATCTTCTGTTATTACTTCGCTGAACGCTTCACGAGGACCCAATTCGAAGAAGATCGGTCGAATCACGAGATATCTTTGCGTCTTTGAATGCAGCCCTTGTTATCCGGTTTCCCCAGGACGGGACGGATAATTCCTTGCGGAAATAATCCAGGGAAGCCGGGGATTGAACCGACGACCTTTGAGTTAAGAAACCGATGCTCTACCACTGAGCTATTTTAGAAACTGATGCTTGCTCTACCACCGAGCTATTTTCCCTCCCCCTGTACCCAACTTGACTTAGCTGTAAACAAAGTATCCTACCATCGTTATTTTAATTACGTGAACAATCTTGGAATTTGTATGCAGCAATTGTATTAATTCCTCAAATATTTGAAGCTCTGACCGAATGAGTGTTTATATTCTGCGTTGCACTTTTCGTCACGGCATCATTTGTCACAGTCACGATGCCTTTCGTCGATTTCACAAGAAAGTTGGCGTAGAATAAAACCAATCGTGTGGTAAAGTGTTTTCTCGTTACTTCAGTAGTACAGTATAATGTTTGTGGAGGTACTGAATCCCAAATTCAGTTATGCCCTGGGAAGTTGACGGTGTCAAATGTCAAACTATTGCCGGTGAGTTTGTTGACGATGGAAATGCACAGGGTAACGTTAGTGGCAAACCCTTGCAGCCAGATAGAACGTGCAAATATTGACTGTGATGCATGATCAAGGACGAGACTGCAGATCGAACAGTGTAGTTCGGACGATTAATCACTTTTCCCATCACACTACTATGCGATCTGGATCTGAGTCGCTATAAGAACTTGAACAATTTTGTAACGTTGGGTACTAGTATGATACTTCAATGTAGAGTTCCACCAGAATACTGTAACAACGACGTTAGACTCATTTTAATGCTTCGTTTTAGCTCATACTAGTAGCTCTTGTGCGCAGGTGGAGTTGCGCTATCTACCAATAACTACGATAAGTCGAATCCAGAAACATCCAGGTAAAATGTAACCGGAAACAATGCATCATCGACATGGTGATGGTCTTTGCTATCGAATCGTCAGACACAAAACCATCCAAATCTCGTGCGATGTGAATAACTATCCAGTGCTCAAAAAATCTCTCGAACCATTGCGCATTTTACAACTGACTCTGAGTTTGCTCGAAAAGTTCTGACTCTATTCTGTTACTAAAACTAGAAATCAGCACTTTAGAGCAGTCGTCGCGATTGTGTACCGACCAAGTATCACTTTGCAAGTTCTTATTATTAGTACTACAGTATTAATAGCACTATTAATAGTACTACAAAGTACTACAAAGTACTACTACGTAGTATTACTACGTAGTAATAAATAGTACATGACGCGTGGATTCTATTGTATTAAGGTTTCCACTCAGCTGCGTACATGAACTTACAGTACTGTATCAACGGTGCATTGACCATGAAGTACAGTAACACTACACCGAACGTTATCGACTTGGCGGTGAAGGGTCTATTACTACTAGTAGTTAATCAAATCGCCGTATAGGGATTCTTGGACCAAGGCGTACAGAAACCTACACTCGACTCGGCCACGCGAAAAGACGGAAGCGAATGGGTTATATTCTACTACGAGTTACATGCTTATAGGAACAAACACAAGCAAAACATAGGGTAATGGGGACAGCTGGGATATATTTTAGCTGGAACATGTCGTCAAGCCGACAAAATCTATGAGGTAGTTACTACACTATAGTAGTATTACCTTCAAACACAAAATATATTGTCTTTCCGCAACATTAACACAACAACTCTCTAGTTGCCACACCACAAGGTTCCATATTCAGGGCTGTAGTATTCGCAGTCGTCCTTGGAGAAGTCATCCAAGCAGTAGTCGGCGCCAGGATAGTAGCAAACGCCGCACGTGGCACAACCAGGCTTGGGGTAGGCAGTCGTGGGCCTCATCGTGGTCATGTTAGGCATGGTGGTAGGTTTCGTCGGGCCAGGGGCCGAGGTGGGGGAGTTCTTGAGGTACGGCTCAATGAAGTCGCGAGCCATGGAGATGCGACCGTTAACTTAAAACACGACAAGTAAAATCTACAGATCGCAGGTTGCTTGAGTCGTAAAATCTAAATCGAACGTCAACTGTCAAATCTAACGTGGTGGCACCGAATCTGAGACCGTTGCAATGCTCAGTAGGGAGCCTAATCGTGGCCACTAAGTATTTGCGCATGGATATCATACCAGTGTAGTATCAAGAATAAATTAGTTAGAAAACTGCACACGTCAACACAATATTAACACTAACATGGTCACAGCCAACGCCTAGCTAACAAGTACCACGTAATTGGGACCACCATCACGCTCAATTTAAGCTAACGTTAGTAAAGGTGGTAGGAATCCACAAGCTAAGTAAAAACTAAACATCGTATGCCCACCAAGCAGAACTTACCGATATTAAACATCTCTATTAACGCGTTAAGCCCAAACTGTACTTTGACACAGGGGCAAACTAAACAGGCAAATGGACTCCACTTATAGTCAATCGAGTGCCCTCCCCAAGGTCAGCTTTCAATGCTCATCATACTACTGTAGGCCTATCTACTATAGTCGAATGTGGCTACCACCATATATTCTACAGGTAGTACAGGTAGTAATGACTCCTGCTCTATTAAGGGTTAAGGGTTCACACTAGGGCGGCAAACATGTGAGCTTACACTTCCACAGCACGGTCCTACACTATGTAAATTTAGGTGTCCCCAATTGGTTGAAACGAATCTTGTACTATAATAGCTAAATACCATTGTAGAGCAATGTGCATCGTTAGTGTGTCGGTTTGATTCCAAGTTGCAGACGAAGTAGTCCGCGTTTCGAGCCTAGCTTCGACCATTTCTTTTTGCCATAATTATACTCTGGTTGTTTTTGTGACCCTCCTAATTTTGATTTGTTTGTATAAAACAGTTTTATACCTACAGTATGAAATTGAATTCGAAAGGTATTGGCCACTTGGCTGTTTAGGGTATTTACAATCGACCTATGATCCGGTTAATGGCATGAAACATCGTCAAACCAGCATTATTCGGACACGATAAACATCGTCGAATTTGGCCGAACGTCCTGCGAGCTCGATGTGTTGTGATAAGTTAACTTCATTTTCAACAAGTATTGCAGAAAAGCATATATGGTAGGTTAATGTCGTATCCACCACATAGGACTATTCGTGTTCGATTTGGTTCACTGGGTCATGAATGAGCCTTTGATGTCGACCCGAAACTCTTACAGGCCGCCCAAACATACAGTATCTATAAATTATACTAATACAGAGGTTTTGATCGGTTCTGGAATCGCCCCTCTGTTCGATTCACAGTCAACCAATCGAACATGGAAATTTCGAGTAGAACCCACAATAC